AGGCTCTCCTAGAGGGATGGAGGCTTTTTGGGGCGGCCTCTAATCGCCTTTACAGGTGTTCCCAGTCAGGCATATATATACATATATATATATTTCCCTCTAATATGTTTGGTATGATGGAAAAAATTGAAAAGTGGGATAATGGTTACATAGACACAGAACATAATTGATGTTATTGAAATGCACAATAAGAAAATATAAAAAGAAGTTTTATAATATATAGTATCACTAAATTTTTTTAAAAAATGGTCTCAATTTTGTTCTAAAAGCTTGCTGGAAATTTAATTGCTAGTATTAACATTCGGTTTCAACTGTGTTGAGCACTTAAGTTGCAAATTAACTTAGACTCTTATCTCAGAACACTTGAGAGTAATCTTCAAACTTCTTTAGAGCAGACCATATAGGTTTTTCTAAGCATCACCACCACTAAACCAGAGAATTCAGAAGACTGATAGTCTATTAAATATTTATAATTCAGGAGAGTACTAAGGGGCACAGGTCTGCAGGGCATTCATTTACCAATAATTTATTAAACATTTACTGTGGGCCCAGAACTTTGCCCCTGCTCTTAAAATTGACCTTGAGTAAACCTCAACAAATTCAACACCCAGCATAAATGGAGCAGTAAGACTATCTATTTCTGATTTATCTAGAGAAGCAAATAGATCTTCTGTCTAGACAAGTGGCCTGAGGTTCTTTCTCAGTCACTTCTGATTATGCAATTGATATTCAAACTAACCAACCTTTGGAAGATTGATTGGAAAATAGCCACAAAAGAATCAAAAGGCCTGGAAACTAGGGCAGTGAGGAAAAAATGTTTTGATAGGACTTTAAGTAAAATTTTTGTAAATTATGAACAACGTTGAGAAATTCTTCCAATAGTGTACTTAGTTAAATTTACCCAAAACTTGGGTGTATCGTGCCGCCAACAGGTCAATTTGTACCTGTGAGGAGAGTGCACCAGCAGCCTGATGGCACCATCAGGTTTTCAGATACCCCAAAATTGCTGCTGTGCCTTTGGCCAGACCCAAAAAAATTGGTGCAAAGTTTACCAAGAAAGTAAACGGCCAAAAGTTAGGTATGTGGGAGACACACCCACAAACCACCTCTGGCTCAGCTATATAATTGGAAGCATGGCCTCTCTGGCTCCTGATCGAACTGCTTAACGGCCATGATCCCAGAGATTCAGAAACGAATCTCGGAACCCAAAGGCTTTTGGCAGAAATGCATCCTGTTCCTGCAGTTGGTTACTGGCGCTGGGTAACTCCAGGTGGGAATAGGTTTCATGCCTTGGCCTGTTCCCCTTGGCGGCCAAGTGACCACCATCCTCCAGAGGCCACTGGAGAGTCAGGTTTGAGCCTGTAGTGACGAGACAAGTGGGGCCTCACCAGATGGGGGTGGAACAAGCCCTTTCCTCCCCATCCCAACGAGACCCAGAGTCGCCGCCTACAAACGGCCTCTCTGGCTCCTGATCAAGCTAATTAATGGCCATGATCCCAGAGACTCAGAAACAAATCTCGAAACCCAGCGGCTTTTGGCAGAAATGCATCTGGACCACATACAAAGTGGCCACTGCCTCAGAGCTTTTCGGAAAGCCAGGTATGAGCCGGCAGTGATGGGGCAACTGCAGTCTCATGGGAAGGGAAGCGGTACCGGCTCTTCTTTCATGTCCTACCAAGGTCACGAGTTGGCCCCCACGAGCGACTCTCTGGCATGGCCATGGCTCCAGAGGAAAAAAGGACTTAATCCAGAGCCCAGCAGCTTGCAGCAGAAAAGTGAATGGACCATGCATTAAACTACAGCACCATGCCTCCCCAGGAGGGAAAGGGTGCTGCTCCCTTCTGCCCCCCCCCCCCGCCCCCCGCCCCGGCAGCAAGGTGGCTGCTGCCTCAGAGCTTATAAGAAAGCCAGGTATGAGCCGGTGGTGATGGGGCAACTGCAGTCTCATGGGAAGGGGGGTAGTACCGGCTCGTCCTTCGCACCCTACTGAGGTCATGAGTTGCCCCCCACAAGCAGCTCTTCCACACAACCATAACACCAGACGCACAGAAACCAATCTCGTAATTATCTGGCTTTCTGAAGAAATCCAAAATTGCGAGGCCACTTTTGCAGCCACGCGAGATTATATAATTCTCATAACCAGCTATAGAAAACAAAGTATTTCACAATGCCTTTTCAGCACTTCTGATTGTTGGGGGGGAAATTCTAAACAATAATGGTGCATCTTTTGTTGAAATAATGAATGTAATCAATGTAGAGAATAGTTAAGTGGAAATCATCTGCCTGACAGGCATTGGGAGGAGTGGGGGGGGGGTATATTGGGGTCCTTGGTGGTGAAAAATGAGTACTGGTGAAGGGAAAGGTGTTTGATCATTGTGTGACCGAGACTTAAACCTGAAAGCTTAGTAATTTTTCCCACAGTGATTCAATAAATAAATATAAGAAAAAATAATAAATAAAATTATGAAACAAAAAGCAAAATGGAGTCATGCTCAATTCAATCAGCTAATCAGTGGCTGAATAAATAGCAGTACTCCTACATAAAAAAATTACCCAAAACTGCACACACAGGGAATTATAATCATAATATAAGCAAATTGTATCTGGCTTATTTTATTGTATCCCAATGTATCTTGAAGACTTACAGAAAAAAAGAATTGACCTCTTTGCTATGTCAAGTATATACTCCATAATTTTTTTTTTTAGTCAAAGAACTAAGAATTAGCACACATTGCTCTCTATCAACATGAGGGACTAACTTGAGCCCTGATTCATCAAAATGTGAGGTACTGGTACTTGGGTGTACCCTGTACTAAGCCCAGAGTCTGGCTTTTAGGAATCATATACAGGTAAATAACGATCTCAGTAAATAGCATACTGTAGCACTGTATGTTGTCCTATTGTTCATCAACTTGCTCAAGCAGGTACCAGTAATATCTCCATTGTGAGACTTGTTGTTACTGTTTTTTGGCATATTGAATATGCCACAGGGAGCATGCCAGGCTCTGCTGTGCTGGCGGGATACTCTCGGTAGCTTGCCGAGAGGGACAGAGGAATCGAACCTGGGTCGGCCGCATGTAAGGCAAATGCCCTACCTGCTGTACAAAAACATAAATATTTTTAAGAAATAAGAGAGATGAGAGAGAGTTTTTGTCCTGTTTGAGTAGAGAGTCACACAAAACCATCAGGAGTTTCGAAGCAAGTGACAATTCCCAAGAGATTATTCCAAGAGATTTTTTTTCAATCTTAAAAACTTTATTTAATTTGCATTAAACAATGCAAAGATTTTACTATAACACAGAACACTCAATAGTTTTCAGTTACAGCCGATAGGTAAAGCTTTGGGATAAAGCATATATAATTTCAAAGTAACCACACCAGGTCTGTGAATAGCATTAATTAGAACTATCACACCTGTCAAGAAGAGTTAAGCCCTTTTATATTGGGGAAAATATATAGAAAACCTGGGAACATTATATGAACAAGGGTAAAACAACAACAATAACAACAAAAGGTGATAAAACAGGTAGCAATTAGTATAGGGATGAAAACTTCAGAGTCAATTACCCATTTACAACGGAAAACTGTTCTAAGGGGACAACATTCATGGAATGTCTTTGCATAAAATACCTTTCTGTATTAAGTGTATTCACCCTTCTGCATTAAGTGATTGGTTTTTCTTCTCCAGAGGAAGAACACCTGGTTATCTAGATGTTTATGTTACTTCCAATTACCAGTTGGTCTATGACAGAATTTTTGGTGTCTATATCCTCAAAGCTTAAAAATTAAAAGCTCCAAAGGAAATGTAAGTCCTACCTTTCTATTGATTTTTAAATGGCTCATGTGTTATTTTTTTGTAAGATGTGATAACTGAGAATTTAGGCAACAAGAATTATCTCTACCTAACTGGGATTCATAATTAGTCTGATAAGATATTAAGTGACAGGTAGATTTTCTGAAATTAAAAAAATGAAAGGTATTTTTATTAAATGTTGCTGTAATATGTTTAACTCTTAATCATGGCTGACCAGATGGATATCATCTGTATATATATATAGAAACTAATTACCAGGAAAATTTTACTTTACAAGGAAACCCTCCACTACTTATGAAATGCCCAAAGCTGTAGGATAGTCATCAAGATCAACTAGTCCTTAGACAATAATTTTTACAGAAGATGTGAGAGAATTACTAAAATTAATATTTGAGGCCTAAAGACTAAGAAATAGAAAGGTACTGATAAGTTGAATTCTAGTTGTTCATTCTAGAACTGGGCCAGCAGTACCATGGCATTTAAGCCACGCCTTGAAACTGATGCTCTCTGTAGTGTGGGAACTAAGTAAAAGAACCTCAAATCTGATGCATTTCTAGATTTTTCAGGTAGCACGGGTTTAGTGGGGGGGAGGGGGAATTTCAAAACCACAAGCATAGACTTACCCCATCAGCTCTAATATGTTAAAACAATTCCAAAACACAATGCTTAAAAGCACACCATTCTAGTGGCCCCTCCCCCGCCACACACACACACACTCACACACACACGGTCTGGTATTTTACATGGCTTACCAAAAATATATATCTTAAGAACTCTGAGGTAAAACTTCTTCTACAACCAAAAATTTTAAAACTATATTAGTACATTACCATTTTAACAGGTGACATTTTAGTCTGTGCAGTTTTCAGTTTTACTAATTATTCTAAAAATGCAATTAACACTGTACACTTTTACTATCACAGCATGTTCTTTCCAATCTTTAGTACAAACAATTCTTATCCAGTTATTTTTCCATTTACAGTGAATTGGCGCAAACAGACAACCCCTTCCTCCAGTTTAAACAAACAAACAAAAAAGACAACAACAAGAAAAATGAGATTAAATTTTGGAATGTGGGAAACCACTAATCATTCACCTGTGGGGATACCCAACTTAGCTTTCTGCACCCATTCTCCATACTAGAGAAACATTCCTAGGCCTCCTGCCAGGTACTTTCTAAACCCTTTCAAGAAGCTCCAGCGAACTTCTGGATTTGCTCCTTTAAAATCAGGATAATCTGCCTTTGCTCCGGAGGCAGTGTGGCAATCTGATCTGCAGTTAGCTGGAGCACTTGCATGATCAAAGCTGCCTTTTTTCGATCCTGTGGAGTTACCTGGCTCAGCCCGGAGCTAAAACTGCTAGGCTGGCCTCTATCTTGCTTACTAGCTCCACCTTTTCTACCGGCTCCCTGCACACCTGTCCCCTGCACATCCTCTCCCTGCAAAACTGCCCCCTGCATTCCTTCTCCCTGAACACCTGGCCCCTGCATTCCTACTCCCTGCACACCTGCCTTCTGCATACTTCCTCCCTGCACACCTACCCTCTGCATTCCTCCTTTCTGCATACCTACCCCCTGCATTCCTCCTCCCTGCAAGCCTGTCCCCTGCATACCTCCTCCCTGCTTGCCTGCCCCCTGCATTCCTCCTTCCTGCTTGCCTGCCCCCTGCATTCCTCCTTCCTGCACGCCCACTCCCTTCAGGCCCACTCCCTGCTTGGCAGCTCCAGAATTTCCCAACCCGGAGATAACTGGGACCTTCCTGGATCCCTGAGGACCACCGGCCCCCGTACTAACGGGTCCACAGCCCGGAACTGCACCAGTCATGGGGCTTCTCGAACTAGAGCGATGGCCCCTTATCATCGCTCCTCTCACATGCGTTCCTCTCGCTTCCATTCCTCTGGTTTCCACCGCGCTGGCCTCCATCCCTCTTCTCTCCGACACGCAGGTCTCCGAGGCCTCCGTCTCCATAGCTTGAGCCTCCAGACCTCGGGCCTCTCTGCCAGCTCTGCCATTCACTCTTGGATCGCGCATGGGTCCTCGGGGCTCTCTGAGAAGCACTCTGGGCTCTGCCTGCGGCCCACCTCTCACCTCACGTCTGGAGGGGCCACGGCCTTCATGGCCAGAGGCGAGGTGCTTGGGGGGCCCCTGATGGGTTGGGCCCAGGCGGCCTCTGGGCTCTCCTTCTCCGGTGACCGAAAGCAAAGTCCCTCCACGAGGGTCATTTGGTGCATCTCCTAAGAGTCCTTGCGGAGAGAGGCCACCGGCACTCCGCGGTGCACGCGGTCCGTGAGCTCGAGGATCTGCCATCTGCACCTCACCCTGCTCCAAAGGCACCGGCCTAACCCCGGGCAACCCAACTTGGGGCTGCATCGCCCTGCTGGGAGATAGGGGGCCCGGCCCGGGTCCCGGGGCAGCGGTCAGTATTGGCCCCCCGGGACTGGAGGCAGCGGTCGGTATTGGCCCCCCGGGCGCGGGAATGCCACCCTTCTTCGGGGTCTGCCTCAGGGGCGGCGGAATGTCTTTTGCAGGCCGCCTGGCCGAAGAAGGCTGCCGCTGAGGCTTCTGCTGGCTCGGCAGAACCTTGGGGCCATGGCCCGGTGCAGGCTCCGGTCCGGGTCCGGCAGCAGCGACTCCGGCATTGGTGGAGGCGGCGCTCTGGGCTTTGCCCAGGAGCAGCGGCGGGACGACGCGGGTCCTGCGGTGCAGGATGCTGAGCGCCAGGCCGGGCTCCATGAGGCCCATGACCACCTGCGCCTGCAGCAGCGCGTAGGCCAGCTGCGGGTTCTGCAGCAGCAGGCTCCGCGTCTCGGCGCGGTTGTTCTGCACGCACAGCTTCATCTGCAGCATCAGCTCGATCATCTGCTCGGGGGGCAGGCTGGCCACGGCCCGGGCGATGGACTCGGGGGCGTCCTCAGGGTCCACCGCGGGTCCGTAAGGAGAGTCGAGGGCAGCAACGGTGGCGGTGGCGGTGGCAGCGGCGGGTGCCGGGGGCGCCGGGACCCTCCGTGGCGGCGGCTCGTCCCGGGTCCTCTCGCTGGCCACATTGTCCACCCGCAGCGCGCGGCCACTGCACTCGCGCCCATTCAGGTTGCGCATGGCGCTCAGCGCCGTGGCCGCGTCGCGGTACTCGCAGAAGCCGTAGCCCTTGGGCTGGCCCGTCTCGCGGTCGCACACGAGCCGGAAGCTCACCACGCTGCCCACCTCCGAGAAGATGGCCTTCAGCTGCTCCTCCGTGGCCTCGTAGGGGATGTTGCCCACGAACACCGAACGCAGCGAGCGCTCCATGGCCGAATGCTCGCGCCCGCCACACACACACACACACACACACACACGCGCGCGCCTCGCCACAGACAGCCCGCCCGCCCGCCGCCACAGAGACGGAGGCACTTCCGGTCCCCACCGGAAGCGGCCGCACCCTGACGCCCCGGAGCCCGCCGGCCGGCGCCATGGCGGTCACGAGGGCTGAGGAGCCGCCGCCGCGCGGGACTCAGGAAGGAGGCTGAGCTGAAAGGGCAGAAATCGCATCAGTGAAAGAAGAGCTTCCTGGGGGGGGGAAGGGGAGCAGGAGCGCTAGCACAGTGGGTAGGGCGTCTGCCTTGTACGCGGCAGACCCCGGTTCGATTCCCACCGCCAGGGGTATATTCCTGCGTGCAGAGCCAGGAGGAACCCCTGTGCATCGCCAGGTGTGACCCTCCCCCGAAAAATAAATTTTTTAGAAAAGCAAAAAATATTTTTAGAGCTAATTATGAAGAAGTACAACTTGGAATAGAGTCCGTGAAATATTTGACAGCTTCAGTAGGATATTCCCGGCCAGGCTAAATGTATACAGTGCATACGAAGTGCATGAAATTAGTAAAAGTCCCTTTGAAGAGAGTATCTTCGTAGTGCACAGCAGAAGCAGTAGTTGTAGACTTCCCCTCTAGCTTCTGAAGGCGACTGAAAACTTCAAATCTGGTTAGCCCATATTAAGGTGTGCTTTGAGTACGAAACACACACTGACTTTAGAGACTTAATATGCAACAACTAAAAGTGCTTGATTAAAATTGTTTCACTGATCACACATTGAAATATTTTTGGATTAAAAATATTTTACTTGGGGCTGGAGAGACAGCACAGCGAGGAGGGCGTTTGCCTTGCACACGGCCAAGCCGGATTCGATTCCCAGCATCCCATGTGGTCCCCTGAGCATCACCAGGAGTAATTCCTCAGTGAAGAGCCAGGACTAACCCCTGTGCATCGTGGGGTGTGACCTAGAAAGCAAAAATTTGGGAAAAAAAAAAAGGAAGAGCTTTCTGGGTACTGCAAAAATAGACCAAGTACGATTCTATTGCAATGAAAATGTGTGAGCCATTAATCATTGTATGACACGTGTGTTGAGAGATAAACTTTTAATTCTCTTGAAATCACTATATTTCCCTGTTTTAAAATATATGTAGATATATAGATACATATGTATTTTATATATGTGTATATTATATATGTGTATATATTATATATACATATATACATGTGTGTGTTTATATATATATTTTTTCCACTTGTTCTTTGGTTTGTGTACCATAACTGGCAATGCTCCCAGGAACGTTTTTGATTCTTTCCTGGAACCATTTGATACTTTAATATTTAACAATTACCATATAGTAAGATGCCATTTTATAAAATGACCTCCCCCACATTCTTGATGTCTTAGTATCCAAACTGCTTTCTAGATATTCTTTATAAGAAACTGTGCTCAGGGGCCAGAGTGATAGTACAGTGGGTAGGGTGCTTCTCGCACACTGACTACACTGCTTTGATTCCTAGCATCTTTATATAGTCCCCTAAGCACTGCCAGGAGTAATTCCCAAGCACATCACCAGGTGTGCTCCAACTCCAAAAAATAAAGAACCATGGTCAATTACTTTTCACATGTATTGTTAATAAGAGAACTTAACTTAAGACATGTATATTCAATTATATTTTTATTTTCAATCCCGTTACTAAAATATGGGAGTGAATGCCAGGAGTACCTAAAGTTGTATTTCTCTCTCTAAAATTTTTCAAGTTAATCTTGAAATAATGAGGCTGAGGCTTTAAAATTTAATTTCTTAGACAAAAAAGAACCTTAGAAATTATTTAGGGATGAGAGAAGTGATACTTTTGAAAAAATGAGTACAAATCAGAGGTGTAAGGTATATGGGATTTGAGGGGAAAAAATCATTCTACAAATTTATTTGTATTTTGACTGAAGTAGGATGTGTTATTTTTGGAAACACTTGAAAGAACAAGTATTTCCCGTGTCAAAGACTAATTAGTAAAGTTCTTCTCTCAGAGATTTTGAAAAAAATAAGGTACTAAATAGGTACTCAAACTTTTAATGAAAACCTGTACTGCCAAAATTTCTTAAAACAATAAAATACTTAAAATTTAATTTCTGAGGTAAACATACTTCAAATAATTTTCACATATGTCTAAGCACTAGAATGTGCATTTGCATTTTGAAATATGTGGGATAAGATCAAAATCTTCATTTCAATGTCACATCACTTTCTTTTTTGCCTTTTTTAAGCACTTTATTCATTTTTTATTGAATCACATGAAATACAGTTACAAAGCGTTCATGTTTGAGCTTCAGCCATACAATGATCGAACACTCATCCTTCTGCTAGTGCACATTTTCCACTATCAATATCCCCAGTGTAGCCCCCACCATCCCAGTCCTCACCCTGCATCTATGGCAATTTCCCTAATACACTCTCTCTCTAATTTGGGGCGTTATAGTTGGTTCGAATTTTCCCACTGCCATTCAAGTCTACAGGTGTTTTGCAGCTGCGCACTTCTGGAATTCTAAGATTTTAAATGGTTGGGGCCCAGAGACATCTCTGTAGGGCAATAGTCCATTTGGGGATTCAATTGAGAATCTCTGGACCACAGGTTTTGCTACGCTAAGATGGTGCCCAGAGGCAGATTGTGGGCGTGACAGCCAGGCCGCTGAGGGGACTGGGAGCCAGGGAGAGATACCCCAACTCCTCTGCCACTGCTGCCATGTGACCTGAGACTTAGTCCTGAAATCCATTTACCTTGGTCTTTCTTGTAGAAGTTTGTGGTTGTCTGGGCTTCCTTTGGAGCTGGCAGGGAGAACACACCAGCTCCATCTGATGTAAGGTAAAGGTAAAGGTAAAGGCCCTCCCATTGATCATCGATTTGCTCGAGCGGGCCCAATAACATCTCCATTGGAGACTTTGTTGTTACTGTGTCTGGCATATCGAATACTCTCGGTAGCTTGCCGGGCTCTCCGAGAGGGGCCATCTGATGTGCCCCTGTGAAATTGGCTTGGTACCAGCCCAGAGAGATCTCTGGCAATGTGGCCCCAGGACTCGCTGCTCTGTCTCTGAACCAGAGCTCAATGTCATATCACTTTAAAAGAAGAAAACTGACCCTTCTAAAACTGAACTAATTTATCTTCAGTAGCCTCTCACCATAATATTTAGATGGTGGTGATTATTTTGAAATATATACCATATATATCTGATTTAATTAAAGTAAATAATTATTCATATTTTAGAGGTACCCAGAATGCTTACAGTGTATCCCATTTTTCTCAACCAAATTAAGAAAGCTTTAAAATAACCACCATAAAACTCTTATTCATGATCACGATCATCCTGTTGTTTGTCGATTGCCTCGAGCAGGCACCGGTTACATCTCCTTCTTCCTAGCTGAGATTTTAAAAGAGTCATATTCAATGCTCTTTCAGGGTTAGGAGAATGAGACCCATCATTGTTCCTGGTATTTGGCATATTGAGTATGATGTGGGAAGCTTGCCAGACTCTGCCGTGCAGCCTGCCAGGTTCTCCAAAGTAAGAACGAGATAGTAACATGTCACGTGGCCGCAAATGCGGCCACACACTTCTGGGAGCTAAGTTTTAAAACTCTTATAGGTTCTAGAAAATAAAAATGCAATTGTTCCCCAAAGGTAATACATTTATTTAAATTTATTTAAATTGAACTCATCATTTTAAAAACCTCAGACCTTGATTCCTGTGATTTGTCTGCTCATTTCTCATTTCTAGTCAATGGATCAAAGATGAAAAGTTTCATTATTCAAAATACAATATATATTGTTAATTAAGTCAAAAATTTTGTTTCTTCTCTTTCTCAAGAATAATTTTATGAGAAGATAGTATCAGTTACAAGTTGGAAATGATGAATTTTCACAAAGAAATGAAAAGGAACCTTATATATATAAGAACAGAGAAGATAAGTACTTTCAGCTTCTTCTTAGACATATTAGTAGCTTCTAACAGAGGTGTATTTTGTGATGTTTTTTATTTTTGGTCAATGCAAAGATTAAACCCCAGGGCCTTACCATAAACTCAGGTGCTCTCCCACTGAGTCATAGCCTCAGATCTAAGATAGCTTGAGCAGAGGACAAAGATTACATATCAATTCCTGTGGCCCTGTAAAATGAACTGTCACCGCATGTCACAATGGGTATCAAAGTTATCATCCTCAGGGATGGGTCAAACATAGATAAAAATTACTGAAGAGTGTAAGGTCCCTAGGGACCCTGAGAAAAATTCCAGAGCTTAACTCTGCTAATTAGTAACTCTCCCTTTCCTGCCCCCTCCCTAGTAGAGCCTTAGCTGTGAAGCCCTTCCTTATTGGGATGTAAATTCTGAAACCATTTGTTGACTCTTCCTTGTTGGGATGTAAATTCAGAAACCATTTGTTGGCCCTTTCTTACCTGTTACCTCTGTTAGGAACTTTTCCCTTACCCTCCTCCACCGGAATGCAGGAGCCATGAGCTGAGAATCAAAGGGAACAAAGAAGATAACCAAATGTCCAAGTTACCAGATGCCCACTAGCCACAATGCCTATGTACATAAATGCTGATCTTTGAATCTATAGGCTAAGGAGTGATGTACTTTTAAATGGATTGGTTAAGAAAGTATATGTTGTTACAAATCTCTTTGGCTATGAAATGCGCGGGCTTTGCTGTAACGGCCAGTGAAGGCCTATATAAGATCCCCTTTGAAGAAGTTCGGGGTCTTGCCTCACCTATCTGACCTGCGTGTCTGTGTAGGCGGCTCGACCCTGGCTAGCCAGTCTCACAATAAACCTTGCTTGCTGTTTGCAGTCTCTGGAATCTCTTTGTCATTAAAGGGAGATCATGATCCGCATCCTAACAAAGAGGTCATATTTGCAGTAAAATAACCCTTTCTCCCTGTGCTTTACTTATAAATTGTTGTAAGTTTGTTTTTTCTTTTTCCTGTTTAAATTCCTTTTCTTTAAAAAAAAAAAAG